CCAATCCTTTTTGTCCCAGTTCCTCCTGATCTCCCCCACACTTTCATCTGGGTGGGCTCAGCTTTGTGATGACCCTGTGCAACCTCATGGAATCAAGGGGCCATTGTGGCACTGCAGGACCTCATGGAAAGAAAGGAACACAGGGACATTTGTGGTGTAAGAGCAACATTTTGTGGATTTGTATATAGGTGTTGTGTTTAGCTTTATACTGTATCTGTTAGTGAGAACGTTAGGTAGATTAAGATGAAGAAGTGGTTAGGAGGGTCGGCCGCAGGTGGCAATGAACCCACGCAAACCACTGCTCCTCCCCGTGAATTAGCAGAATGGGGGCAGGAGCCATGGAATGCCTTATGGAATAAATGGGAAACATGTACAAAGACTTCCCCCGAATACTGGGGACAGCAGACCCCGATGGAGGTATTGCAATATTGGAAGCAGTTCGCACAAATTCCTACTGCTAAATCAAGCAGTCGTCTAGAACATACCGGACGTATGGGGGGTGTGCTGCTTACTGCATATAAGTTAACTGTAGAAAAATTGCAAAAAGAGTTAGAGAAGAACAAAAAATTGCAGGAGCAGCTGAGTGCTGTGAGAGCCACTCAGTTGGTACAACGCCAGGCTTTACTTGACCTTCAAACTGATAAGAACAGGGTAGAAGATAAATGTGTTACTTTAGCTGGAAAGTATGCTGTAAGAACTATTCGGCACAGGCAAAAGAAAATAGAACAAAGTGATCGGGGGCCACGGGTGTGTGCTGTAGTCACTTCCTCTGACTGGGACCCAGAGAAGTGGGATGGTAACATATGGAGTAGTAGTGATGATTCTGATGAAGATGATTCTATAGAAAATACAGGGAAGCCATCGACAACAGATGAGTTGGGACATGAAGCCAGGGCAGCCCCTGTTGTACGGCAGAAGGCAGTGGTGGATAGTCAGGGTAACCGAGTGAGACAGGATGAGGTTGTTGATTTCTCCCCAGAAGACATTAAAAATCTTTTGTCTAAATATTCCCAGCAACCTGGGGAACGAGCACAAATGCAGATGGTTCGATTGATGGAGCAGGGGGCAGACTCTGTGATAGTAGATAATGTTGATGCCATGAAGTTTTTAGGGTTAACTAATGACGTATATGTACAAAATGCTCTTTGGCATTTAAAACAAACACTGGGAGCTAGTAAGGCTTTAGTTTCAGTCGTTGCTGAGGGTCTTAGTGACCGTTTTACTAATGATGGATCATGGCAGAGTGGAGATTCATCTTGGATAACTCTTCATCAAGCAATCAGGATATTGAAAGGAGAAGCGATGAAATTAGCTATTGAATTGCAGAGCCCTGAACTTTACATGCAACAGCCTTTAATCCCAGTAATGAGGAACAGATTATTAGAAGGCTGTCCTTTATCCTGGAAACCATACATTATTCCACTTTTAGTGTCTAACTCAGGGGTACCCACAGAAGAGATTGTAGAGAAGTTACAGCAACTTGGTGACCTTCCAGGTCTCCCACACACAGACAAAGCAGTCACCCACGGAAATAAGCAAGATAACAGTGAAAACAGGATGGGAAGGGAAGGAGAAAAGGGAGAACGAACTAAGCTATTTCAGAGTTTACTTAAAAAAGGAGTTCCCAAGAAAGATATTGATGGGCAGCCAACAGAAGCCTTATGGAGGTTAGCCCGACAGCACCAAATTAGGAGAGCTGCAAAACAAGAACAGACATATCCCTGAGTCGAGATGCAGGAGACAGTCGATCGGTTTCTTAACACAGATCCAGTGATTTCAGGGTTTGAGCCAGTAAAGGCTGATGCTCCTCCATACGAGGAGCACTGTAAACTTGAATAGGGGTGTGACCAAGTCCCAGTGCAGTCCCCTGCTGTTTGCTGTGTTCGAAAGGATCAGCAACCTTTTACCATTTGTATAATACATTGGTCCCCAAAGAACAAGCAAACTGTACGAGCATTAGTTGACACTGGGGCGGAGGTCACTATTATTCATGGCAATCCTGACAAACATAAGGGGGACCCAGCACCCATATGGGGCCTTGGAGAACAGGCAGTTCAAGGGCATATGATCACAGTAACACTACAAATAGCAGACAATCCACCAAAACCTTACAGAGTAATGGTAGTAAAAATATTTGAATATATAATTGGGATTGATGTTATTAGAGGAATGGACTTATGGATTGACGACACCCTGAGGTCATTTGGGTCCACGCGGTGGCACATTCGAGCCATACAAGTAGGGAAAATACAGGAAGAGGCAAACATTCCTATCTGTACACAAACTGTAAACCTTAAACAGTATAAGATTCCAGGCGAGGATGAGGAAATTCAGACAACAATCCAAGAACTACTTGAGGCACAAGTGGTGAGGTACACTCATTCCCCATTTAACTCCCCCATATGGCCTGTGAAAAAATCAGATGGGACATGGCGAATGACTGTAGATTATCAGGGAGTTAATAAAGCTACTCCACCAATTACAGCTGCTGTACCTACTATTACAGATTTAGTTCATGAGATCCAAAAACACTCAGGTGACCAGTATGGTATAGTAGGTGGGGCCACAGTGTTAGAACTTAGCAACAAAACTTCACACAGTTATAGACCACAAGAGGTTAAATGGGAGCAACCTGATTGTCAGCTAAAAGCCCCATCAGTGCCCCTTGTGAAGTTACTTGCTTTAACTCCACGAGCAGTAACCAAAGGCTTAACCTTGCTAAATCCAGTACAAAATAGTCATAAACATGTGTGGCTGGGTATCAAAAACACTACTGACCATACTGTTGTTTTACACCCTGGCCCACTCTGTTCTTTAGTATATGTTGCATCTATACCTCCAACACCCCCTGCAGAAGTCGGGGGTATGGGACACAGAGTGTGGTACACCCCTCCAGGACAAAGTCCTATAGCTGCTGAAATCATTGCCACTGACCCATCACATGCTGTTACTATTGCAGTACCTGGAAAGCCTGATTGGCTCCGAGTGCCAGTGGAACAGCTGCGATGACGGGACTAAAAAGGAGGAGGAGGGGAGGTCCCTTAACAGTTTTTTCTGTTTTATTTTATTGTAGATTTCAGCTATGCTTTACTTCTTTGCTGACTTCTGTCTCAGACGTCAATGTGTGGACTACCCTGGCCGATGTGACGCAGACTGATGTCCTGTGTCTGTCCATGGCAACTCCCACGAGTCCTTTTCGCACCTGTTTAGTTGGAGTACCTACTGATGACTACTGATGGAGAACTCTGTATAATGAGACTGTGTTAGCAAATTGCACACACCCAGGAACTCTACAGCCCCTCTGGTGGTGCCAGGCATCATGGCGAGCTAAAAGCGGAAAGGATGCTACTTGGTATACTCAGTCTATAGCATATATACATGATTTTCCTGCTTTGTCCATTCAGCCACAAGAATTAGACATTTTAGGGACATTAACTGCAGCTCGCTGTTTTTATTTAAACTATGCGTCAGGTACCAAGGTGAACGAAGGAGGAATTGACATCTTTCCCAGGGCTATATACTGGAATGCATCAGCTTGGTGCAATGAGACCATACAGGAACAATTTATTCCTGGTCCTAATGCGGTTGGCCTTCCAAATGGCCTGTTTCTCATTTGTGGACAAAGGGCATGGAAAGGTATTCCGGGAAAGGCTGTAGGCGGCCCTTGTACCTTTGGACAATTAACTTTATTTCATCCGCATAAGATAGCTTTGCCTAAACTGAGAAGATGGAGACACAGCGCACAGCAGTTTACTTCGGACTGTAATTCTAATGTGGAGTTTTGGAATGTGGCTAAAAGGATATCTGCTAGCCTAGTAGCTCAGATAGGGACTGCTCATGCTTTAGCTTCTTTAAATAAAATAGGATGCTGGTTAGCCAAAGAAGCTAATGCTACCTCCGTTGCTTTGAGTGCATTGCTCACTGATGTAGACTCTGTTAGACATGCAAGTTTACAAAACAGAGTTGCTGTTGATTTTTTGTTACTAGCCCAAGGACACGGCTGTCAAGATTTTGAAGGCATGTGCTGCATGAATTTAAGTGACCATTCTGAGTCTGTCCATGCTAGCATCCAAAAACTGAAAGCCCTTACCCAACACTTACATTAATACTGAATGGACCCCCTTTGGCAATTGGAAATGGGGATGGCCCTGGTTACAAAAGGTGTTGATGGGCTTGTTAGCAATTGGGTGTACAGTGATATGTTTCTTGTGCATAATTCCCTGTGCGCTAACATATGTACATGGCCTGATAAACACCAAGATAAATGCATTACAATCTCGAGTGATTCGTTACCACCCTCTTGCTACCATTGATCACGTGGTGGCATGTCAGACGGATACTTTTGATTCAGATGATCAATGGAGCATAGAGGGGTGAGAAAGTGATTGTATTAGCATGTGAAACCAGCCAGAGTATTGTACAATGTAGTTTTATTGCACAAGTTGACTGTAAGGCCCATTGTGCCTTTAGCAAAGTCAACTAGATGTCTCTTATTATCATAGCTGAGTTCCTCCTTGGCTTGGTTACATTCTACAAGATAGATACAAATCCCCTTGAAACACAATGGTACAGGTCGTCCACAGGGCTGAGGAAGGTGATGGAGAGAGGAAGATGATGTGGGCAGGGGTTGTTTGTCCCCTTGCCCTACAGTGGGGCACGCCCAGACTGTTGCCATGAGGTGATGAACGGGCGCTGTTTGGCTGCCACTCAAGCACCACCTTCTGCTGCGTCCTGGCCCTACGTAGTGTAATGTAGAGCTGATGGAATGGGGTGTCAGCACTGCTGGGTGGAGCGATGCTCATCCTTCCATCCACACTGTGCTGCTCCGCGGGGACGCCCGCTAAGCATGAGTGCTGACCAGCCGCTGCAGAGCCTGGTAGCCCTGGCCTGTCTGTGCAGGTGAGCATAGTTTATTGATAGGAAGCAACTGAGAAAGCAAACATTTTATATCCTGCTGCGGGCATATCAGGCAAGCGGAACAGACTCAAACACTCATGGAGTTAACGGTCTGATTCGTTTATTGTGCCTAACAGCAGTGCTTTAATACATATCAGAAAGCTGTGTGTCGAATACGGATTGGCTAATGAACAATGAATACAGTCCCCATTGTTCATTCTTTCCAACTTCTGCATTTCTTGCTGACACTGTCTCTTGCGATTCTCATGCTGGCTTCCAGGGTCTCTTTTTAGCTTCTCGTGTGAAAGATACATCCGTCTCCTTCGCAAGGGTACATCCTGTTGTTTCTTGTTAAACTTTGTATTACCAATCTTGTCAGCTGATGGCCTTGCTAAACATTACAGTTCTGTATATTGATTCAGTATTGCAAAGGCCCCAACACTTCCCCCTCTCTTCTTAAAAACAGCATTAATGCTACGGTTTATGCTAATGCGTGCACAAGTAATACAACAAGGCAAAAGCAACAATATAAGGACACCAACCACTAACACAGTCAATCCTTGCCGAAGTACATCTTTCAGCCATCCTGAAATACCCAGAGAAGAAAGCCAGTCATCAAAAGCACTAGAACCTTCCTTTACATGGTGTATCCGTTCCCGTAATTGTTCTAATTGCTTATGAATGCTCACAGAGTGATCTGACAGGTTCATGCAACACATGCCTTCAAACTCTGTACATCCGTGTCCTTGAGCTAATAACAAAAAATCAATTGCGGCCCTATTTTGTAATACAGCATGGCGTAAGTCTTCTACATCAGTAGCTAATCCTGTAAGAATATCAGAAGTAGAATTAAATTGCTTAACTGCCCAACAGGCTAATGTTCTAATTTTCTTCCAATTGGCTGCAACTGCGCCTCCAGGAAGAAAAGTAGCCAAAGCAACTGTACCACCAAGGGTGCCAATGTTAACATTATCATTACAATCAGGCTTCAAATCATGCAAACTTCTTTGCGCACGGCGTGTTTGGTTATGAATGGTCATTATGTGACGCATACTCGGGGCAAACAAGGTTAATTTACCTATATAACATGGTCCTCCCACAATTTTTGCAGGTATTCCAGGCCAAACTCTATCTCCACAAATGAGAAAATATCCTGAGGGAAGTTGCCGAGAAGTAGTGACATTGTAGTCACGACCTCCCACATTTCGTGAGACATTCCAATGCTGAGTATTACCGGACACGTTAAAATAGCCTGTATACAAGCAAGTGTCACTGGAACCACATAAGCGACGAGCATATTCTTCCCCAAATTTTATCGTCCCAGAGCCGTTTACCGGCAAAATTTGAGGGACTATGTTGCTACAATTGGGATGGGTGGTAATGTTCTGCCATGATTCACTCGAGATAGGAGGAAACGATCCCCACAGGTCTAATTCCTCAGGGGGATGAGAAAGAGTTGCATTAAGGGCTGCTACTAATCCGTGAAGGAAAAAAGCATTCTGCACTAGTGGCCAGTCCCATGATTTGATACATTCGCCATCTGAGTTAATATTTCTCCATTCCCAATAGGATTGATTAATGCGAGTGTAATTTACTCCCAAATAATTGAAATCTGGCCAATGTATGTACGGATAGCCAATCAAGCAGGTTCGAAAAGGATCACCTGCTTGTTGCAGAGCCAAACAAAAATCAGTAACCCCAGAATGATTTGCCCATGTCACCCACATGTTTTCTCGTGGATTTATATCCTCAATGGCACAGCCATTAACCATGAGGCTTAAGACTATTCCCAAAAGTAACGCCATGATCTCCCAGTACAATAGTGCTTTAAGATATGAGACTCTTGTATCTTACAGATAACATCAACCCAAAATTGTACCGTTATTCGTTGCTCAGCTAGAAACAGCTGTTCAAAAGATTCAAAGCAATCCAACAAACTATGCAGCTCCTCCGTAGTGGGATGGGCCTTTCCTGTAGCTAATGCAAACAGATTAGAGTTTAGAAAGGTTATAGTGTGCAAACATCGGGGACATGCCCAGGACCTCAGTTGTCGCCGTTTCAGTTTAAAAACCCTTTTGCAATAACCACAATAAAATTTTACATAGGCATTACAGTACAAACTTCCGCAGTTTGGGCATGGATCTGTATCTGTTGGTCCTTGTGATGCCAAATCTCTCAATTCCTGTAAAGCAGACCGAAGAAAGTACATTGAAAATTGACCACTAGGAAGTTGCATACGTACTGCTTGAGGAAGGCAACGAAATATTGGTAACAAAATTAACAATAGCTTGTGTTCAACTCGGGACTCTTCTATTTGTGCTGGCTGGCGTATGAGTCTCTCCAGATGCAATTGCTGCAGCTCGCGGTCATTCATTCTGCTTATGTTGTGTATCAGCACTGTTGTTTATCCAAGGACGAACCCACTTGGCTGGTACCCAGCGAGCCTGGGAATCTACAGAAACACAGGCATACCCACGGCCCCATGTTATCAGTAAATGCGGTCCGTTCCAACAATTACGTACAGGGTCAAACAACTGAATCTGAACATTATAAGGGGAAAAATCCTTAGAGGAATCCAAAAAATGAGTAAGAATAGGAACATTGTTACTTTCTGAGCGCGGATTCAACCAGTTCAACACATAGCAAGCTTTTGCTATTATGCTATGGGGACTCAATTCCCCCTCTTTCTTAAAAACAGAAAGATAGTGTTTTAGTGATTGATGTGCTCGCTCTACAATGGCTTGTCCACCGGAGTTATAGGGAACCCCAGTGATATGCTTAATTTGCCATTTTTCACAAAACTGTTTCACTTTGGCACTATGGTAGGCAGGAGCATTGTCAGTTTTAATAGATTCTGGGCGGCCTAATACTGCTATTGCTGATGACCAGTGCTGTATACAAGCTGCTGCATTAGTTGATGCATGTGCAGTAGCCCAAAGTGCTTTAGAGCATGTATCAATAGAAACATGAATAAATTTAAGACGACCAAAAGGAGTAAATTCAGTGACATCTGTTTGCCACAAAGATTGCGGTCGGACCCCTCTGGGGTTCACACCGTCTTCCTGTAAGGGTGTAAGCCTAGCACAGTCAGGACAGGCAGCAACAACAGCACGAGCATCAGTCCGGGTGAGAGAAAAAGATTTTTGGAGAGCTTTAGCAGACTGATGAAAAAATGCATGAGATTCAACAGCTTGAGATATGTTTGATATTGCAACAACAGGCATTGTGACTTGGGTATCAATATACCTGTTACCTTCAGTTATGCAGCCAGGAAAAGGCATGTGACTGCGAACATGAATAATCCACCAAGGATACTGTCTGTTTGTGACCTCATTCCAAAGTTGTAACATTAAGCTTTCTAAAACTGGATTAGAAAAGGAGCCTAACAGAGCCTGAGACAGGCGCTTAACAATTCCAACAACATATCAGTGACCGCTATAAAAAATTTGTTGCCAATTTGACTCCCCACTGGGATAAACAATCTCTTCCCAGCAAGCACAGAGGGGTATGTAATACATACGGTCTTACCCATGCCTGGTGCCCTTCTGAATCCATGAAAAAAAGAAAATGTTTACTGACCTTGGTCAACTGACTGCCGCCTATGCCTGAAATGGTAGAATCCACTTTTGTTAGTTCCCAATCCTTATGCCATAAGGAATACGGTAAAACAGACACATCAGCACCTGTATCCAAAATCATGGAGACATCATTGAGAGATACATTATTAGGTCCTGTTATTGTCACATTGCACCTAGGACGCTCTGTACTAATGTTCTGACAAAATGCCACATTAGGAGATCCTATTGACCCAAAGCCTCCACCCCCTCTAACCTTATTTCCTACCTGAGGCACTTGTGCCTTAAACGGTATCAATTGGGCAATAACACTACCTGCAGGGATAGAAACAGGAGGTGAAAAAACCTTGACCATGATTCCAATTGGCCCTGTATAATCTGCATCAATGCATCCAGGTAGAACAAAAATTCCTTTCTTTGAGGTTGAAGAGCGTCCTATGAGTAATGCAGATAGTCCATGACCCAGTGGTCCTGTAACTGTGGATGGAAGCACATGAACATTAGTATCAACAATATTTATGGATTCTGCCACGGCCAGATCGACTCCTGCGCTGCCGATGGTGGCGGAGCGCAGTTCATCGAGGCAGCCATGATTTGATGTTGGGGATATTTCTTGGCCGCGTCCCTCACAACGCGGCTGTTCCCGTTTCCCAGCCCTGTAAGCAGAGTTCCATCTTTCCTGAATTTTGAACGGCACTCTGCTGCTTTGTGCCCGAATTTGTTACACCGAGTACAGATACCATTAAGTGCCTGAGTTTCTTTGCCAAGCTGTCTGCACGCTTTTTCTGAAATGACCTTCCTGCCCACAGTTGAAACAACGTGGTCGAAAACCCTTATCTCCTTTGCCCTTAGATTTTAAAGCCACAGCTAATGCATTTGCATGTATTTTAGCCTTTCTTTCCTCTTCGACTATCGGGGCTCTTGCACACGCCTCTATCATTTTAGTAAGTGTACTACCAGAAGGCAATGCTGCAATTATTTGCTTACATGTGTGATTGGCATTTTGCATTGCAAGTTCTTTTGTAAGCAGGATTTTTAACTCTGGGTTAACATTCGGGGCTGCTTCTATGGCATCCCGCAACTTATCAACAAATGAGAAAAATGGTTCATTGTCTTTTTGCATGATTTTAGTGTACGGGGGGTTAGGTGTATTAATCTGAGGTAAAGCCAAGAACGCAGCTAAGCCTGCTTGTTTTGATTGTTGTCTCACTCTCACATGTAAGGTAGCTTGAACTGCTCCATCTTTGTATTGTCCTGCTCCTAAAAGTGCATCCAAGGGGGCGACTCGCAATGGGCCCCCTTGAGGAAGATGCACATTATCTAACTGCTTTTCTTCTAATGCCTCTTGCCATTTAGCTAGCCAAAGCATATATGTGGTTGGAGAGAGAATAAGTTCCATTATTGCTCTCAAATCAGCAGGAACAAGATCATTATACTTAATTAAGGCAGTAACTTGATTTTTGACTAATTTATTATCGGTACCATATTGCATAATTGATTTTTGAATCCCTTGTACCAATTTCCAATCTAAGGGTTCCCACACAGGATTTCCTTGTCTGACCACAACAGGAGCTACAAGTGGCTGAAATGAAAATTCTCCCTGAACAGTACAGTTTTCAATTAAACCCTTATAACGTTTTTGTGGATCAAAATTAGGATCTCTCGGCTGATTATTCTGTTCTTGCTTTTTACACTCATTTTCCCTCCCCCTCTGTTGTGTTTCTTGCTCCAATCTGTCCCCTATAGCATCTAAACCTTTTACTATAGTGTCATGAGCTGCTTTGTAAGCTTTTCGAACATCTTTTCGTTTTGAGTCTTTATCAAGTCTTTTCATCTCCTCTAACAAAGCAGTCATATTCTTCTTTTGCTGTTGCAGTTCTTTTCTTAATTCTGAGTATGGACCCTTAGGGGATTCATCATCACTGCTAAAAACTGTGTCATCCTCAGGTGGAAGAGGAGGCAGATCTGCAAGAAGACGATCCAAATCCATCGGCTCATCACCGCCTGCCAATTCTTCTGCAGGAGCCGATGAGACTACCTTTTCTGGGGGACCAAGATTCTGGTTCCCTTGTTGTAAATTAGACTGATTTTGAGCCTCATTATCAGGCTGCCAAGGAGGCAGATCATCATCCAATCCCCAAGCTATCTGCTCAGCTCTAGTCATAGCAGGATAAGCAGAAGTAACAGGTGGATAATCAGGGGGATCATTAAGAGGAGGCCATTCATCTGGCTCTGTAGCCTCAGTTTGTTTTTTCACTTCAGGAAGCCGCACCGCAGCTTTAAGTGCCGCAGCGACTTGCGCTTCTCCGTGTAACTGTGCAATCATACTTTTTACTGCACGATAAGTTTGAGCAAGAGTTTTAGCTCCCTTTGTTCCGACTTGAACTGACTCCCAAAGTTCTTCCCCTATCTTAGTCCAAGTTTCATTTTTATAAATATCTTGGGTTGACGAGATAAGTCCACGCCGACGGCTCCAGCATAGTAAATCTATGACAGCCTGTCGGGACAGCGGGGTGTTTGTATGATAAGCCAACTTCATAAGGCTGTCCACCACCGCTTTTTCTACTGCTGATACAGCAATTCCCATCCTGCCTAATTTTCTTGACTCACCGGTGAGTTCTGTCCGCCTTTCTTCGGGCTCTCAGATTCCGCCTCTTTGGGCTCTCAGGTTCCGCCTTTCTTCGGGCTCTAAAGTCAGCTCTCGTCTCCGCTGACCCAGGCAGGTTCCTTGCCGGCTCCGCTGATCCCTTCTCACCCCCTAGTGGATCACGTCGGGGGTCGCCAGATGCTGCGGGCATATCAGGCAAGCGGAACAGACTCAAACACTCATGGAGTTAACGGTCTGATTCGTTTATTGTGCCTAACAGCAGTGCTTAAGTACATATCAGAAAGCTGTGTGTTGAATACGGATTGGCTAATGAACAATGAATACAGTCCCCATTGTTCATTCTTTCCAACTTCTGCATTTCTTGCTGACACTGTCTCTTGCGATTCCCATGCTGGCTTCCAGGGTCTCTTTTTAGCTTCTCGTGTGAAAGATACATCCGTCTCCTTCGCAAGGGTACATCCTGTTGTTTCTTGTTAAACTTTGTATTACCAATCTTGTCAGCTGATGGCCTTGCTAAACATTACAGTTCTGTATATTGATTCAGTATTGCAAAGGCCCCAATACTATCCTTTTTCTTGTATCCCTTTAATTCCCTTTCTACTAGCTAATATTGTATCCCTTTAATTCCCCTTGCACTAATACTTTAATAGAGGCTGTTTGTAATATTGTATGAACGCCAGTAGATAAAGTAGATTTTTTTGGTATTCTTTTAAACTTTTGATTCTCTTTGCTAATAGTTTTTTTTTTTTTTAACTCTCACTGCAATAAAAGATATTTTGTAGTGTTTGAATGACTATTGTACTTGTCTTTATTCCGGACATATATCCTTGCAAACCTGGTACACTTCAGGAACCATGGGAACCATTATGCTTTCTCATTGTGACCTCGGTTACCATGGGAACCATTCTGTTTTCTCATTGTGACCTCGGTTGCCATGGCAACCAATGTGCAGTCTCATTGTGACATCAGTTGCCAAGCCAACCATTGTGCATTCTCATTGTGAACTCGGTTACCATGGCAAACAATGTGCATTCTCATTGTGACATCAGTTGCCAAGGCAACTATTGTGCATTCTCATTGTGACCTCGGTTACCATGGCAACCATTGTGCATCCTCATTATGACATCGGTTGCTATGGCAACCATTGTGCAGTCTCATTGTGACATCACTTCCCATGGCAACCATTATGCATTCCCATTGTGACCTCGGTTACCATGGCAACCATTGTGTATTCTCATTGTGAACTCGGTTACCATGGCAAACAATGTGCATTCTCATTGTGACATCAGTTGCCAAGGCAACCATTGTGCATTCTCATTATGACCTCGGTTGCCATGGCAACCACTGAGCATTCCAATTGATATGTCGGTTACCATGGCAACCATTGTGCATTCCCATTATTACAACAGTTACCATGGAAAACATTGTGCATTCCCACTGTGACATCGTTTACCAGGGCAACCATTGTGCATTCTCATTGTTACGTCAGTTACCCTGGCAACCATTGTGCATTCCTATTATTACAACGGTTGCCATGGAACCCATTGTGCATCTTTACTGGGATCTCGGTTACCATGGCAACCATTGTGATTCGCATTGTGATGTCAGTTGCCATGGCAACCAATGTGCATTCTCATTGTGACCTCGGTTACCATGGCAACCATTGTGCATCCTCATTGTTACATGGTTTACCATGGCAACCTTTGTGCATCCTCATTATGATGTCGGTTGCTATGGCAACCATTGTGCAGTCTCATTGTGACATCACTTCCCATGGCAACCATTATGCATTCCCATTGTGACCTCGGTTACCATGGCAACCATTGTGTATTCTCATTGTGAACTCGGTTACCATGGCAACCATTATACAGTCTCACTGTCACGTTGGTTACCATGGCAACTATTGTGCATTCTCATTGTGACCTCGGTTACCATGGCAACCATTGTGCATCCTCATTATGACATCGGTTGCTATGGCAACCATTGTGCAGTCTCATTGTGACATCACTTCCCATGGCAACCATTATGCATTCCCATTGTGACCTCGGTTACCATGGGAACCATTCTGTTTTCTCATTGTGACCTCGGTTGCCATGACAACCATTGTGCATTCTCATTGTGACTGAGTTGCTATGGCAACCATTGTGCATTCTCATTATGACCTCGGTTGCCATGGCAACCACTGAGCATTCAATTGATATGTCGGTTACCATGGCAACCATTGTGCATTCCCATTATTACAACAGTTACCATGGAAAACATTGTGCATTCCCACTGTGACATCGTTTACCAGGGCAACCATTATGCATTCCCATTGTTACGTCAGTTACCCTGGCAACCATTGTGCATTCCTATTATTACAACGGTTGCCATGGAACCCATTGTGCATCTTTACTGGGATCTCGGTTACCATGGCAACCATTGTGATTCGCATTGTGATGTCAGTTGCCATGGCAACCAATGTGCATTCTCATTGTGACCTCGGTTACCATGGCAACCATTGTGCATCCTCATTGTTACATGGTTTACCATGGCAACCTTTGTGCATCCTCATTATGATGTCGGTTGCTATGGCAACCATTGTGCAGTCTCATTGTGACATCACTTCCCATGGCAACCATTATGCATTCCCATTGTGACCTCGGTTACCGTGGCAACCATTGTGTATTCTCATTGTGAACTCGGTTACCATGGCAACCATTATACAGTCTCACTGTCACGTTGGTTACCATGGCAACTATTGTGCATTCTCATTGTGACCTCGGTTACCATGGCAACCATTGTGCATCCTCATTATGACATCGGTTGCTATGGCAACCATTGTGCAGTCTCATTGTGACATCACTTCCCATGGCAACCATTATGCATTCCCATTGTGACCTCGGTTACCATGGGAACCATTCTGTTTTCTCATTGTGACCTCGGTTGCCATGACAACCATTGTGCATTCTCATTGTGACTGAGTTGCTATGGCAACCATTGTGCATTCTCATTATGACCTCGGTTGCCATGGCAACCACTGAGCATTCCAATTGATATGTCGGTTACCATGGCAACCATTGTGCATTCCCATTATTACAACAGTTACCATGGAAAACATTGTGCATTCCCACTGTGACATCGTTTACCAGGGCAACCATTATGCATTCCCATTGTTACGTCAGTTACCCTGGCAACCATTGTGCATTCCTATTATTACAACGGTTGCCATGGAACCCATTGTGCATCTTTACTGGGATCTCGGTTACCATGGCAACCATTGTGATTCGCATTGTGATGTCAGTTGCCATGGCAACCAATGTGCATTCTCATTGTGACCTCGGTTACCATGGCAACCATTGTGCATCCTCATTGTTACATGGTTTACCATGGCAACCTTTGTGCATCCTCATTATGATGTCGGTTGCTATGGCAACCATTGTGCAGTCTCATTGTGACATCACTTCCCATGGCAACCATTATGCATTCCCATTGTGACCTCGGTTACCATGGCAACCATTGTGTATTCTCATTGTGAACTCGGTTACCATGGCAACCATTATACAGTCTCACTGTCACGTTGGTTACCATGGCAACTATTGTGCATTCTCATTGTGACCTCGGTTACCATGGCAACCATTGTGCATCCTCATTATGACATCGGTTGCTATGGCAACCATTGTGCAGTCTCATTGTGACATCACTTCCCATGGCAACCATTATGCATTCCCATTGTGACCTCGGTTACCATGGGAACCATTCTGTTTTCTCATTGTGACCTCGGTTGCCATGACAACCATTGTGCATTCTCATTGTGACTGAGTTGCTATGGCAACCATTGTGCATTCTCATTATGACCTCGGTTGCCATGGCAACCACTGAGCATTCCAATTGATATGTCGGTTACCATGGCAACCATTGTGCATTCCCATTATTACAACAGTTACCATGGAAAACATTGTGCATTCCCACTGTGACATCGTTTACCAGGGCAACCATTATGCATTCCCATTGTTACGTCAGTTACCCTGGCAACCATTGTGCATTCCTATTATTACAACGGTTGCCATGGAACCCATTGTGCATCTTTACTGGGATCTCGGTTACCATGGCAACCATTGTGATTCGCATTGTGATGTCAGTTGCCATGGCAACCAATGTGCATTCTCATTGTGACCTCGGTTACCATGGCAACCATTGTGCATCCTCATTGTTACATGGTTTACCATGGCAACCTTTGTGCATCCTCATTATGATGTCGGTTGCTATGGCAACCATTGTGCAGTCTCATTGTGACATCACTTCCCATGGCAACCATTATGCATTCCCATTGTGACCTCGGTTACCATGGCAACCATTGTGTATTCTCATTGTGAACTCGGTTACCATGGCAACCATTATACAGTCTCACTGTCACGTTGGTTACCATGGCAACTATTGTGCATTCTCATTGTGACCTCGGTTACCATGGCAACCATTGTGCATCCTCATTATGACATCGGTTGCTATGGCAACCATTGTGCAGTCTCATTGTGACATCACTTCCCATGGCAACCATTATGCATTCCCATTGTGACCTCGGTTACCATGGGAACCATTCTGTTTTCTCATTGTGACCTCGGTTGCCATGACAACCATTGTGCATTCTCATTGTGACTGAGTTGCTATGGCAACCATTGTGCATTCTCATTATGACCTCGGTTGCCATGGCAACCACTGAGCATTCCAATTGATATGTCGGTTACCATGGCAACCATTGTGCATTCCCATTATTACAACAGTTACCATGGAAAACATTGTGCATTCCCACTGTGACATCGTTTACCAGGGCAACCATTATGCATTCCCATTGTTACGTCAGTTACCCTGGCAACCATTGTGCATTCCTATTATTACAACGGTTGCCATGGAACCCATTGTGCATCTTTACTGGGATCTCGGTTACCATGGCAACCATTGTGATTCGCATTGTGATGTCAGTTGCCATGGCAACCAATGTGCATTCTCATTGTGACCTCGGTTACCATGGCAACCATTGTGCATCCTCATTGTTACATGGTTTACCATGGCAACCTTTGTGCATCCTCATTATGATGTCGGTTGCTATGGCAACCATTGTGCAGTCTCATTGTGACATCACTTCCCATGGCAACCATTATGCATTCCCATTGTGACCTCGGTTACCATGGCAACCATTGTGTATTCTCATTGTGAACTCGGTTACCATGGCAACCATTATACAGTCTCACTGTCACGTTGGTTACCATGGCAACTATTGTGCATTCTCATTGTGACCTCGGTTACCATGGCAACCATTGTGCATCCTCATTATGACATCGGTTGCTATGGCAACCATTGTGCAGTCTCATTGTGACATCACTTCCCATGGCAACCATTATGCATTCCCATTGTGACCTCGGTTACCATGGGAACCATTCTGTTTTCTCATTGTGACCTCGGTTGCCATGACAACCATTGTGCATTCTCATTGTGACTGAGTTGCTATGGCAACCATTGTGCATTCTCATTATGACCTCGGTTGCCATGGCAACCACTGAGCATTCCAATTGATATGTCGGTTACCATGGCAACCATTGTGCATTCCCATTATTACAACAGTTACCATGGAAAACATTGTGCATTCCCACTGTGACATCGTTTACCAGGGCAACCATTATGCATTCCCATTGTTACGTCAGTTACCCTGGCAACCATTGTGCATTCCTATTATTACAACGGTTGCCATGGAACCCATTGTGCATCTTTACTGGGATCTCGGTTACCATGGCAACCATTGTGATTCGCATTGTGATGTCAGTTGCCATGGCAACCAATGTGCATTCTCATTGTGACCTCGGTTACCATGGCAACCATTGTGCATCCTCATTGTTACATGGTTTACCATGGCAACCTTTGTGCATCCTCATTATGATGTCGGTTGCTATGGCAACCATTGTGCAGTCTCATTGTGACATCACTTCCCATGGCAACCATTATGCATTCCCATTGTGACCTCGGTTACCATGGCAACCATTGTGTATTCTCATTGTGAACTCGGTTACCATGGCAACCATTATACAGTCTCACTGTCACGTTGGTTACCATGGCAACTATTGTGCATTCTCATTGTGACCTCGGTTACCATGGCAACCATTGTGCATCCTCATTATGACATCGGTTGCTATGGCAACCATTGTGCAGTCTCATTGTGACATCACTTCCCATGGCAACCATTATGCATTCCCATTGTGACCTCGGTTACCATGGGAACCATTCTGTTTTCTCATTGTGACCTCGGTTGCCATGACAACCATTGTGCATTCTCATTGTGACTGAGTTGCTATGGCAACCATTGTGCATTCTCATTATGACCTCGGTTGCCATGGCAACCACTGAGCATTCCAATTGATATGTCGGTTACCATGGCAACCATTGTGCATTCCCATTATTACAACAGTTACCATGGAAAACATTGTGCATTCCCACTGTGACATCGTTTACCAGGGCAACCATTATGCATTCCCATTGTTACGTCAGTTACCCTGGCAACCATTGTGCATTCCTATTATTACAACGGTTGCCATGGAACCCATTGTGCATCTTTACTGGGATCTCGGTTACCATGGCAACCATTGTGATTCGCATTGTGATGTCAGTTGCCATGGCAACCAATGTGCATTCTCATTGTGACCTCGGTTACCATGGCAACCATTGTGCATCCTCATTGTTACATGGTTTACCATGGCAACCTTTGTGCATCCTCATTATGATGTCGGTTGCTATGGCAACCATTGTGCAGTCTCATTGTGACATCACTTCCCATGGCAACCATTATGCATTCCCATTGTGACCTCGGTTACCATGGCAACCATTGTGTATTCTCATTGTGAACTCGGTTACCATGGCAACCATTATACAGTCTCACTGTCACGTTGGTTACCATGGCAACTATTGTGCATTCTCATTGTGACCTCGGTTACCATGGCAACCATTGTGCATCCTCATTATGACATCGGTTGCTATGGCAACCATTGTGCAGTCTCATTGTGACATCACTTCCCATGGCAACCATTATGCATTCCCATTGTGACCTCGGTTACCATGGGAACCATTCTGTTTTCTCATTGTGACCTCGGTTGCCATGACAACCATTGTGCATTCTCATTGTGACTGAGTTGCTATGGCAACCATTGTGCATTCTCATTATGACCTCGGTTGCCATGGCAACCACTGAGCATTCCAATTGATATGTCGGTTACCATGGCAACCATTGTGCATTCCCATTATTACAACAGTTACCATGGAAAACATTGTGCATTCCCACTGTGACATCGTTTACCAGGGCAACCATTATGCATTCCCATTGTTACGTCAGTTACCCTGGCAACCATTGTGCATTCCTATTATTACAACGGTTGCCATGGAACCCATTGTGCATCTTTACTGGGATCTCGGTTACCATGGCAACCATTGTGATTCGCATTGTGATGTCAGTTGCCATGGCAACCAATGTGCATTCTCATTGTGACCTCGGTTACCATGGCAACCATTGTGCATCCTCATTGTTACATGGTTTACCATGGCAACCTTTGTGCATCCTCATTATGATGTCGGTTGCTATGGCAACCATTGTGCAGTCTCATTGTGACATCACTTCCCATGGCAACCATTATGCATTCCCATTGTGACCTCGGTTACCATGGCAACCATTGTGTATTCTCATTGTGAACTCGGTTACCATGGCAACCATTATACAGTCTCACTGTCACGTTGGTTACCATGGCAACTATTGTGCATTCTCATTGTGACCTCGGTTACCATGGCAACCATTGTGCATCCTCATTATGACATCGGTTGCTATGGCAACCATTGTGCAGTCTCATTGTGACATCACTTCCCATGGCAACCATTATGCATTCCCATTGTGACCTCGGTTACCATGGGAACCATTCTGTTTTCTCATTGTGACCTCGGTTGCCATGACAACCATTGTGCATTCTCATTGTGACTGAGTTGCTATGGCAACCATTGTGCATTCTCATTATGACCTCGGTTGCCATGGCAACCACTGAGCATTCCAATTGATATGTCGGTTACCATGGCAACCATTGTGCATTCCCATTATTACAACAGTTACCATGGAAAACATTGTGCATTCCCACTGTGACATCGTTTACCAGGGCAACCATTATGCATTCCCATTGTTACGTCAGTTACCCTGGCAACCATTGTGCATTCCTATTATTACAACGGTTGCCATGGAACCCATTGTGCATCTTTACTGGGATCTCGGTTACCATGGCAACCATTGTGATTCGCATTGTGATGTCAGTTGCCATGGCAACCAATGTGCATTCTCATTGTGACCTCGGTTACCATGGCAAGCATTGTGCATCCTCATTGTTACATGGTTTACCATGGCAACCTTTGTGCATCCTCATTATGACATCGGTTGCTATGGCAACCATTGTGCAGTCTCATTGTGACATCACTTCCCATGGCAACCATTATGCATTCCCATTGTGACCTCGGTTACCATGGCAACCATTGTGTATTCTCATTGTGAACTCGGTTACCATGGCAACCATTATACAGTCTCACTGTCACATTGGTTACCATGGCAACTATTGTGCATTCTCATTGTGACCTCGGTTACCATGGCAACCATTGTGCATCCTCATTATGACATCAGTTGCTATGGCAACCATTGTGCAGTCTCATTGTGACATCACTTCCCACGGCAACCATTATCTCATTGTGACATCACTTCCCATGGCAACCATTATGCATTCCCATTGTGACCTCGGTTACCATGGCAACCATTCTGTTTTCTCATTGTGACCTCGGTTGCCATGACAACCATTGTGCATTCTCATTGTGACTGAGTTGCTATGGCAACCATTGTGCATTGTCATTGTGACCTCATTTACCATGGCAACCACTGAGCATTCCAATTGATATGTCGGTTACCATGGCAACCATTGTGCATTCCCATTATTACAACAGTTACCATGGAAAACATTGTGCATTCCCACTGTGACATCGTTTACCAGGGCAACCATTATGCATTCCCATTGTTACGTCAGTTACCCTGGCAACCATTGTGCATTCCTATTATTACAACGGTTGCCATGGAACCCATTGTGCATCTTTACTGGGATCTCGGTTACCATGGTAACCATTGTGATTCTCATTGTGAGGTCCGTTGCCATGGCAACCATTATGCATTCTAATTGTGACCTCTGTTACCTTGGCAACCATTGTGCATCCTCATTGTGACATCGGTTGCCATGGCAACCTTTGTGCATCCTCATTATGATGTCGGTTGCTATGGCAACCATTGTGCAGTCTCATTGTGACATCACTTCCCATGGCAACCATTATGCATTCCCATTGTGACCTCACTTACCATGGCAACCATTGTGCATTCTCATTATGAACTCGGTTGCCATGGCAACCATAGTGCATTCTCATTGGTCCCCGGTTACCATGGCAACCATTGTGCATTTGCGTTGCTAGGGTCGATTAATAAGGCAACCATTATGCATTTTTATTGATACGTTGTTTACCATGGCAACCATCTGTAACACACAGATAATATAGAAATGCCAAAAATTGTTTCTGCCTTTCAAAAACTTCCTATCAAACATTCTCTGTCAGCTCTCTGAAGGAAGTTCTCACCAGGACTTCCCACGGCACTTTTCCTGCTAAAAGATCCTGCTATTGTTTATGGTTATCATATCTCCTCCAACATCTGAACTGGCTACGTGTCAAGAAACCACATTCAACCTCCTTTGAACACTATAAAAGTTGAGGACAAATTTTGGAAAATCAGGGAGAGGAAAGGGAGAAGAACTGGTGACTGTAGCCGAGAATCTCTGCCCACCTCCCCTCACCTTTTCTCCGCCACCGCGTGCTGCCTGCCTGCCACCAGAGACTGGAACTGTGCCGGCCTGGAGAGAGCTGAGACCACCGTGCCACATGTGGGAGTTCTACCTTATCCTTCTACCCTGACCATATTTCTGAGGGTCCAAAGCTTCAGCTGAGTTGAGACCCTGCAGGGCCTGGGACAGGGGGTGAGCGGTGAAACCACACATGCTGCATTGCAGAGAACTAAAGCTGTCAGACCCCCTGCAGCTACAGAGATAACATCCAAAAGCTGCAGAGTTAGAGAAAAAAAGGCAGAAACTGCTTCTCTTCCCCCACACACAGACCAGTTCGGTGGGAAAAGGAAGTTTTCAGTGGTATCTTTTCTCTACTTCTGGAAATAATCTTAGCAGTTTCTAACCTTTTCTTATTTTTTCCTCGTTCTCTTTGCATCTCTTAGCAATTAATAAAATCAGGTTTTGGTATCAAGAGACACTTGTGCGAGTTTTAGTTTTGCTCAAGGGAATATTCGAATCTGAAGTTCTTTCTGCAATATTTAAGCAGATTGTAACAAGGGACCATGGAAAAGTGGTAGGAACAGGGAGAAGGGTGGAAAAGTGGTCTGGTAGGTTTGACACTCCCATGGGGGTCTTTGGGAAAGGGAGGATTTACAAAAGGGGGATGGCGCCCCTGAGTTCCCAACTTACTATGGGGTGCTGGGGGCTCCTGGATCCAATCTCAGCCTTGGGTTATGCCAACACTTTCAGTTAAGAGGAATTACAGAGGTGGGACTGAACCACTTTTGTCCCCTAGGTTTTAATGACGGTAAATCAGATCTACTGACAGAAATTAATTATTTAGGGTTACAAATGATCAGACAAAAGATCTTCATCAGAATTATTTACTGCACAATAGAAACACTAAAACTACCAGTAGTACAGCATTAGATAGGACAGTGCTCTACACTAGAGCAATTGTTGAAGCAATTCTACTCAAGCTGGCACCAAAGCAAGAATTATGAATTACAGATGGATGGAACTCCCCCAGACCAACACTCAGGGAGAGATCTCTGCTCTCAACCTCCAGCAGTGACCTTGGGGGGTTCCAGCCAAGGCAGGAATCTCCACACACCCCTCAAGAAGGGTTCTGTTGGCACAACCTGCCCTTGGCAAAGGGGATGGGCCCTTTCTGGTAGAAAGGGATGGACTGACAGTCACTGGACTCCAGGGGTTGCCTCACCATCAGGGGGGTCATTTGGGGTGGGAGCAGCGGCTGAAGCTCTTCCCGCAGTTGGGGCACTTGTAGGGTTTCTCTTACCGGTGGGTCCGTTGGTGTTTGGTCAAGGCAGAGCTGTGGGTGAAGCTCTTCCCACACTCCCCACACTTGTAGGGCCTCTCCCCGGTGTGGATGCGCCGGTGGGTGACGAGGGTGGAGTTGTGTTTAAAGCCCTTCCCGCAGTCAGTGCAGCGGAAGGGCCTCTCCTCTGTGTGTGTCCGCTGGTGTATGAGGAGATCTGAGCTGCGCTGAAACCTCTTCCCACATTCTAAGCACTTGTAGGGTCATTCCCCAGTGTGGATGCGCTGGTGGTTGCAGAGGTTGGAGCTGTCCCTGAAGCTCTTCCCACATTCCCTACACGTGTAGGGCCGTTCCCCAGTGTGGATGCGCTGGTGTTGGAGCAGGTTGGAGCTGTTCCTGAAGTTCTTCCCACATTCCTCACACGTGTAGGGCCGTTCCCCAGTGTGGATGAGTTGGTGGGTGCGGAGCTTGAACCTCTTCCTAAAGTTCTTCCCACATTCACCACACGTGTAGGGCCATTCCCCAGTGTGGATGAGCTGGTGGTGTATCAGGTTGGAGCTGTTCCTGAAGCTCTTCCCACATTCTCTACACGTGTAGGGCCGTTCCCCAGTGTGGATGTGCTGGTGCCTGAGGAGGTGGTAGCTCTGCCTGAAACTCTTCCCACATTCCAAGCACCTGAAGGGCTTCTCCCTGCTGGGAGGCTGCTCAGGGACCACCAGCTCGGAGCTCTGGCTCAAGCTCCGGCCGCCTTCCCGGCACAGGATGGGTCTTTCCTCCTCAGAGCTCCCTGGGCTGGCTTTGCAGCCCCTCCTCCGGGGGCATCTCCGGGCCTTTTCCTCCCCGCTGCCTTCCTGCGCCGGGGAGCCCTTCAAAACGGCCTCTCCCACCAGGCTCTGCCGGGGGGATTTGTCCTCCGTGCTCTCCATCCTCAGCTCGGGGCCTGGGGCAGGAAGGAAGAAGGACAGGCAGGGGATTTCACTCTGGCCCAGAGGGAAGGCCAAGGACATCCCCCAGACCCAGCCCCGGCAGGACGGCGGCGCCAGCGGGGTTGTCCTGCAGCCGGGGGCGATGCTCGGCTGCCACAGGCACCACAAGACAGGGCCAAAGGGGCACTGACTTCCTCCTCACCTGCCTGGGGGGCCCGCGGCACCTTCCTCTTCCTCGCAGCCTTCTCCTCCATCTGCCCAAGCTTTGGGAAGGACAAATCCTGCTGGGGGGAAACAAGGCCTGAGCGCATTGGCTTGGGGGTTCCTCCTTCCCAAGTCCATCTCTAGAACTCACTGGGCATCCTCTGACCATAAAAACCTCCAAAACATCAAAATTAAGCCCAGAAAATCCCAATCTGTCGACATTCAGGAAAAAAAACCCCTAAGAAATAGTGGAATGGACACCCCTCCATCACAGTGCAAAAATTTACCAGGATTCAGCCAAAATATGAAGATTCAGTCCAAAAATACTCTCCCAGGAGTTCCCCTCTCTGGTCTCTCCCCTCTGGGGTTCAGAGGGTCTCTCCTGTCTGGGATGCTGGCAGTCCCACTTAGGGATTCTGGGAGTGTTGGGCATCCCAAGGGTCCCTTCTCCTCTGGCTCTCACCTTCAGGGTGCCGCCTTCCCAGACATTCCCCCTCTCCAGGTTCTCCACCTTGTTGTCCCAGGGATCCCAGGGGTCCCCTCTCTCCAGGCTTCCCCTTCTCTGCTCCCCCCGTTTCAGGCTCCCGGGGGTCCCGGGGCTCCTCCCTCTCCGTGCTCCCCCCTCCAGCCTGCCGGGGGTCCCCCAGCTCCGGCATCGCCCACTCCGCCCTCCACCCTTGGCAGCTCCCAGGGGGACCCCAAAACTGCTGTGTCTGCCCAGCCAGCCCCGGGCTGACAGTGGCCCTGAGCCTGTCCCTGCTCCTCCCTGCAGGCTCCGTGGCCGGGCACACTTTGTGTTCCTGGGTGCCACTAGCTCAGCAGCTGCAGCTGCTCCAATCAGCGCCCGCAGCTCTGCAGCAAAGCCCCAGCTCACCTGGCACACAGGGCATGGACACAGCACCTTCTCGCTGCTGGGCACTCCCAGCTCAGCCTCTTCCCCAGCACGGGGCTCTCCTGCCTCAGCACCACCTCTGCCTTCCACTTCTTCTCAGGGCCACCTCAGGGCCAGCTCTGGGTTCACCTCCGGGCCATTGCTCAGGGACACCTCAGGGCCTGCTCTCCAGGACAGCAACCTGCAGGGAGGGCAGATGATGTGCAAGCCCAGGGGGGCCTGCTTGCACTGGCCTGGGGGCTTCTTTCTCCTTCCACAACCACCCCACAACTTCTCCTGCTTTTCTAACCCCACATCTTTGCAGACTGACCTTGTCTCTGTGTCTGCACAGACACATCTATCCCCTGTGGACAGAGCCTCCAGCATGTGCTGCCCTGGCAATGGCACCCAGAGAATCCCAGAATCAGCCGGCTTGGAAAAGACCTCCCAGATCATCAAGTGCACCCCTTGATCCAACCCCGCCGTGGTTCCCAGACCGTGGCACGGATGCCCAGTGGGGGGCTTTGGGGATGAGGGGTCCCCCAGTACAGTCCAGTGCCCCCAGTATAACCCAATGTGCTCCTGTCCCAGGGTGCCAGGTGATCCCTTTTTGTCAGGGGTTTGATTGGGATTTGGGGTGTTTCGGGGGCCTCTGGGTGCATTTGGGGGAGCTAAAAGAGGTCTTGGGAGCATTGGGGGTAAAAGGGATCTGGGGGGGAGGGGATTAAAGGAAAAATGGGGATTAGGGAACTTTTCGGGGACCTTATTGGGGCCTGGGGGGGACAGGAGGGGCAGCACCATGAGTAGGTGAGTTCTGAGACCCGCCCTGGTGTCCCCAAGACCCTCCTGCTGTCCTCAATTCCCCACTTGGCACCCTGAGACCCCCCTGGTGTCTCCAATGTTCCCAGGGCTTCCCCATGGCCCAAATTCCCCCCTTGACACCACCCATTCCACTGTCCCCAAACCCCATCCCTGATGTCCCCAACCCTCCATCTCCCCCAGAAGGCCCCCTGGACCCTCTGACCCCCAAAACGGCCCCGTCCCCCCACGCTCACAGAAAGGTCAAGGGCATCTGGGGACACATTGGGGAAATTTGGGGGGCTTTGGGGGGCACTGGGTGATTACTGGGAGGTACTGGGACACACTGGGGGGAACCAGGAGGCACTGGGAGGGACTGAGGGGTTATTGAGGGACGCTGAGAGGGCACTGGGAGGGAACTGGGACACACTGGGGGGCACTGGTAGAGCACTGGGGAGTTACTAAGGAATTACCAGGACACACGGGGGGACACTGGGAGGTTACTGGGCCATACTGGGGATTACTGGGTGCTCACTGGAGGATCATTGGGCCATACGGGGGGCGGTGGGAGGTCACTGGGAAACACTGGGTGGTCGCTGGGCAGGTTACTGGGCCATACTGAGAGCCACTGGGAGCTCACTGGGCTGTACTGGGGGCACTGGGGTGGCACCCCAGGACCACTCCCCTGAGGACTGAGGGACCCCCTGAACCCCAATGATGGGTTTTAGGGGACCCCTGAGCCTCCCTGCCTGTGGGGTTTCTGTGTGCTGAGTTTTGGGGGTCTCTGGGGTTCGGAGGGGCATTAAGATTCCCTTTCCCTGGGGTCGGTCCGCCCAGCCGGCAGGGGGCGCTGTGGCACGAGCGGCAATGGCGGCGCCGCACGGAGCCTCTTGGGAGTTGAAGTTCTCTCATGGAAACTCCGCCGGCGCCTGCGCAGTGCAGCTATGGCGTTTAAACAGCTCCCCCCGGGAGGGTTCCGAGGCCCCAGCCCTTTCAGGGACCCCCTAAACCCCTTCAGGCACCTTCACCCTCCCCTCTGAGCGCCCTCAGGACACCAAATCCCCTCCGCGACCTCCCCAGAGCCTCTCACAGGCCTCAAAACCTCCTCGGGAACCCCCGAGCCCCTCCTCTCCACTCTGCCGAGCCCTCCAGCCTTCCCGCCCACAGCCGCGCTCCCCGCAGCCCCCGAGCGCATCCCCAGACTCACCGCAGGCCCCGCCGGCTCTCACAGAGTCGAAGATTCCGCTGTCGCCGCCATCGCTTTCCCGGCAGCCACCGCGGGGCTGTGCGCGCGCACCGCCGGCAGAGACCCCGCCCCGCTCAGCCAATCAGCGCGTGGTGCCGCTCCCCGCCCGCCCCGCCCCCTTTTCCGCGCGGGGCACGCCGGGAGTTGTAGTTGCAGCGGCTCAAAGCTCCAAACTCCCCCAGACTCAATTCCCCACGGGCGTTCCTGGGGCAGAGCGGGGCAGAACCGGGGCGGGGACGGGACGGGCATTGGGTGGAAATCATTATAAAAACTGTAACCCCTGCGTTGGAAGGGATGTGGGTGGGTTTGTGTTCCTGGAGCCTGGAGCTCATGAAAACCTCTGCTGCTTGTTTGATCTCCTGCCTAGTTGGGCCTGGAGTCTTTTTTCCTCTGCAGCCTTTTAGGCAACAACGTTTATGGGGTTTATGAGGACATGACCTTTATGAGGAGAGCCTCTTATGAGGTGTATGGGCTTTCTGAGGACAGCACCTTTACGACCTGCATGGGCTTTATGCAGAGAGATCTTTTATGATGAGAGCTCTATCATGAGGTGTATGGGGTGTATGAGGACAGTGCTTTTATGACATTTATGGTGTTTACTGAGGGCAGAGCCTTTATGATGTGAGCCCCTTCTGAGGTGCACGGGCTTTATGAGGACAGAGCCTTTATGAGGTTTATGGCATTTATGAGAACATCTCCTTTATGATGACAGCCCCATGAGGAGATTTATGGGCCTTATGAGGACAGGGGCCTTATGAGGCCTGCACTGTTATGAGGTGTATGGGTTCTATTAGGGCAGAGACCTTGTGAGGCTTGCCCCATTGTGAGGTGGATGGGGTTTATGAGGAGAGAGACTTTATGATGAGAGCCCCTTATGAGTTTTATGGGCATTATAAGGAGAGCACCATTATGACATGTAAGGGTGTTATGAAGACAGAGCTTTTATGATGAGAGCTCTTTTATGAGGTGTTTGGGCTCTATGAGGCCTGCACCATTGTGAGGTGGATGGGCTTTATGAGGGCAGTGTCTTTATGGGGCCTGCACTATTATGAGGTGGGTGGGGTTTATGAGGACAGAACTTTTAGGATGTTTATGGGGTTTCTGAGGACATGGCCTTTATCATGGGAGCCCCTGATGAAGTTTATGGGCTTTATGAGGTCAGTGCCTTTATGGGGCCTGCACCATTATGAGGTGAAGGAGCTTTATGATGCTGGAGCCTTTATGAGGTTTCTGGCATTACTGAGGTCATCGGCTTTATGATGAGAGCCCCATGATGAGGGGTATTGGCTTTGTAAGGCCAGTGCTTTTAGGAGGCTGCACCATTAAGGGGTATATGGGCTTTATGAGGACAGAGACCTTCTGAAGCCCCATTGTGAGCTGGATGGGGTTTATGTTGACATGGCCTTTATGAGGAGAGCCTCTTAGGAGGTTTATGGATTCTCTGGATGCAGCCTGGTAAAAAGAGAGAGGCTGAAGAAAAAGGGTAAAACACAGTGGGGAGAGCCCTGAGGCTCAGATCCAGTGCTGGTGGGTGTCTGTAGGGACAAGGCAGTTGTACAGAACAAGGCAGAGCTGTGGGGCTGTGGCTCTGACTGCAGCCAAATCCCCCCATCCCAGAGGAAGGCAAAGGGCACACAGGGATCCGCAGCCCGTGCGAGTGCAGGCACTGGGGCAGTTCCAGATGAACACTGTGGCCATCCTGCAGAGCCTGACTGAGAAAAAGATCCTTTCTGGGGAAGCCTGGGCTGGCTTGGGTGCAGGGCACTGGGGACAGAGCCCACCCGGGGAAGGGAGGGACAGTTAACAGGGCTGGGCAGAATTTTAGGCTTTTTCAAGGGCCAAAAGCTCTTTGCTCCCCACCCCGTCCGGCTCACGCTGTTTCCTCAGCACCTTCACTTGCTCAGGTGAGGCCAGACTTGAAGACTTGGAAAAGCAGATTGCCCACAAGAAGGGATCCTGGCAGAGGGCTGCAGCCCTCGAGTGGGGCAGAGGGATATGTACAGGAGCTACAAGGCATTGTTATTGCCAGGTTATGGTAAAGCATCAGGGTTTGTTCTGAGATCTCAACACACCCAGGGGGATATGGATTGTATTTTAAAAAAAATCCTGAGAACACCAAAAAGGACCTTGATCAAAACCTCTGCTGTGAAGCCAAGGGCTTTCACCCATGGCTGTTGCCTCGTTCCTCCCAGCTGCAAGGTCTGGGATGAGGGGAGATGACTGTGTGGCCAGACAGGTCTTTGGGCAGATGGGACACCCGGCCTTTCCACAGAGCAAACAGGATGACCCAGCCCTGCACAGCCCCCCCAGAGCCTGGCAAGCTGCTTTGCAAGAGGAAAAACCTACAGTGGTGTCACCCTGAGAGTTTCTCATCTCAGCCTCTGCTACCAAGTGGTGGGGCAAGGAGAGGCGGGTGGCACAGGCAGGGCCAGCAATGCCTGTCCCGCTCCTGCCATGGTGCCCAGGTGGGCTCCCCTGGGACAGCAGGTGGCAGGAATTGTCAGATCCCCTTGCCCTGGTTTGGCAGAATTGTTTGGGAATTGGTATTATCTTGTTTGGTTTTATAATCACACAGCAAAATGGTCATTATTCTATCAATATGTATGTGTGTAGATATTTATGTACATTTAATTTTGAGAGCAGAGCAGTGCTGTTTTGAAACTCATCTTTCCTATAAAGGAATTTCTCTCCTGACAATAAACCCCCTGAAGATTTGTATGCCCCGTGCCTCTCCTTTCAGCAGGGCTTCGTAGTCCCAGAGGCATCAGGATGAGCCCTCTGGCTTTTGCAAGGTCTGCTGTGCTCAAGCTCCACCAATCCTTTGGGGAAATCTTTGCTGGGTGAGCAAGCCAGGCTGCTGCAGGCCCAGGCTCAGCTGGAGGGAGCCAGCATGGCATGGACGCCGTGTCCCCATGGGCAGGGTTTGCTTTGGAGCCTGTGCTTGTTGGAACACAGGGATCTGTGAGCTGAGCTGGGGATGGACCCGCAGCCCGGCCCAGGCGCCCCATGGAGCTGCTCTGGGCTGTGTGCTGGGACAGGGACACACAGGACCTGCTCCTGACACGTCCCTGCACACTCCACAAAGAACCAGCAGCATCTTCCTCCCTTTCTCTAAGCACAAAAGTGTGTTTGCTTCCTCTGTAGGGGTAACCCCCATTCCCCACTGTTCCCCAGGAAGCTGCAGCCCCTGCAGGGCTCATCGCGGCCTCCAGCACTGAGTGCTCAGCACAGGCAGCACATGGAGCTGCTGAGAGAGTGCAGAGGAGGCCTGCGAGGTGCTGCGAGGGCTGGAGCCCCTGTGCCCTGAGGAAAGGCTGCCAGAGTTGGGGTTGCTGAGGCGGGAGAAGAGAAGGCCCCGGGGAGGCCTCAGTGCGGCCGGGCAGGAGCTGAAGGGGCCCAGAGGAAAGCTGGGACAGAGTGTTCAGCAGGGCCTGTGGGGAGAGGACAAGGGGGCACGGCTTGAACTGAAGGAGGGTCATTTAGGGTCGATCTGAGGGAGATGTTTTCTTCCAGGGAGGGTGGAGGGGACTGGCACAGGCAGGGCCTGAGAGGCTCCGTCCCTGGGAGCGTTGAAGGGCCGGTTGGACGGAGCCCTCAGTAACCTGGTGTGGTGGGAGGTTGCTCAGGTTGGAAGGAGTTGATTTTTAGGGTCCCTTCCAAGACAAACCATTCAAGGATTCCATCATTTTCTGGTCCCTATCCTGACAGCTCCTGTGCCATCCCAGCTGCCAGAGCTGTGCCCGTGTTCCATGTGGAATGGCCAGCACCCAGCACCCAGCACAGCGGGTGAAGGGGCCTCCAAGGAAACCAGAGGGGGACTCTTGGTCAGGAACTGCAGTGACAGAACAAGGGGGAATGGGCTCAAACTACCAGAGAGGATTAGAGTAGTTAGATTGGATGTTAGGGCTGTATTGTTTCCTGTGAGGGTGGTGAGGCCCTGGCAGGGGCTGTGCAGAGGGGCTGTGGATGCCCCATCCCTGGGAACATTCAGGGCCAGGTTGGACGGGGCCCTGAGCAACCTGATCAGGTTGGAACAAGATGATTTGTAGGGTCCCTCCCAAGCCAATCCATTCAAGGATTTCATCATTCCATGATCCCCATCCCCCCTGTGGAGTGGCCCCACAGCTCCTGTGACATCCCAGCTGCCAGAGCTGTCCTGTGTTCCATGTGGAAGTGCCAGTGCCCAGGAACGAGCACAGCGCAGCCATT